TTCCTGCTGGAGGGTACTAGTGCAAGCTGTGGAGGCAGTAACCTGCGCAGTCACTGCAGCTGGAAACAGTCTGCACCCAACCTTGCCCTGCAAAATAATTATTGCTGGTCGGTCATGCAGTGTGTCATGCTGTAGGCCTCACTTCTTGCCTATACCATCCAGCAAAGTCTTGTGGAACAGAGTCAGTGAGAATGGGGTTCTCGTCTTTGGTAAAGGGAATGGAACAGAAATGGAGATCAGTAGGAGTCCATACTCTTAGTAGCCACTTCCTTCCTCCCTCTGCATCTGTGTTTCTTCTTTTGTAAACCAGGGCCAGGGAAAGTGACCTATCTCTAAAAAGGTACAGACCCCAACAGAATGAGTGTCCAGGCTCAGACCTGTTCCACACTCATCCTTCTGGGACACAAGGAAACCCAGATTCTGCAACAATGGTGGCCACAGTTGTATTTAAGTAAATTTAAGCACTAGGAAAAGGTACCAGGCTGTTATGTCTAGCAGATAGTAGAGATAGCTCTCCACCCTGTCTTCTTCATTCTCTTAGGTAACAAGCAGATATTCTAATGACCCATTCTGTCCTTAGTAGGGAACTGGCCTGGCATTGAAGTATTCCCAAGCACAGCTACTGAGATTGACATGATGAGAGTCAGCAATGAAAGGGTTCCTGCTAGTTTACTTCCTGTTCAGCACATCTTATGATTAGCACCTTTGCATACTGGTCCCAAGAGAGCTGCCAGTGGCCAAGGTAGCACTGTGCTTTTAAGACAGTTTTGAAAGGAAATACAGCTGCAACACAGAGAATGTTCACAGGCAAGGCTTATGTTTGTTTCCCAGAGAAAGAACTGAGTGTGCTTCGTAAGGAAAATCGCAAGAATGCTGCCCTTGCTGTGGCCATGGGGTTGCTGATTGCTCTTATTTACGCCTGCTGGACGATGTGATTGCACTGAAGAATTCTCCCTGCTGACCAAATGACTCTACTGCAAGGAGCTCTTCCTCCTCTCACCAGTGTGCCTCCCCTAAGCGTGAGGATCAGCATTTCAAATTGCTGTTCTTGTTTATCCTCTCCAAGCCTTGTAGGGAAGCTTTTTCTCTGAGAATTGAGGGGGACAGGAGACAAACCAGACATCACAGCACACTTGCCATTGGAAATCGGGTCAAGCAGAGCTCAAGGAGGTGCTGTCTTACCCAATATGCTGTCAGGACCATCCAGCCTGATGCAGGAAGGCAATACGTTCTCCCTTTTGAAGTTCAAGGACTTCTGTGGTTGCAGAGAACCGTTCTCTGCCCAGCCCAGTCAGAATACACACCCCCTTTTTGGTTGTTGTGACTCAGCCATAAGTTGAGGGGACACCAAGCTCTTTGAATCAAAGGGTAACTTGGGGATTGTGACCTAAAGACTCCACAGGTCCCCAGAGCAAAGCTAAACAAAGATGTTTCCTCCTCCACACTGACCTGCAGGACCAAAGGAATCCTACCCCCACAGAAACAGATGGGAGGTAGGTATCTGTTTTTCCACAAGCAGGTGGCATCCAACTTGAGATCTGGGTGCTTGGGCTTTCAGAAGATCTACCCTACATCTTCAGTGCATCAGAGCTCGGTAGCCATTTTGTGCCTCTGAGAATCAACACTGCAGAAGAGAATTTATTACCAACTCCCAGGGATGAAGTGCTTCTGCAGGGCTTTAAATAAAATAATTTGACTGTGTGTGACTTCCTGTTTTTTCTGCCTGTTTTGTAACATGCCTCTCAGCCACTGCTTTATTCTCATCCTACCAGCCCCTTGCTGGCACACATTGCACCATGGTAAGCCCCAAGTGGGTTAGGCACTTAACATCCCTGGTCAGCAAGGTGTCAGCAGTGGGTTATTGGTCTGTTGTGGCCTGGAATCTACTTGAGTGCTTCCTTTGTGTGTAAACACAGCCTAGCATGCTGCAGAGAAGTGCTGGAGACCATACCTTGTAGGCCCCTTTCTGAGCCAGTAATATACACTAGGTAGCCCAGAGCATGCTCTGGCTTGCCAGGAAAGCCTTTAAAAGGGGACTGTCTTGAAAATTTAACTGTGCAAGGCATTTCTCTGTCGCCACGCCAACACACTGCTGGCCAGGATTTTGTGGGAAGCAAAGTAAACAAGCACTGTTGTCAACTAAAGGGGCTGTATTGGTAATAGAGACAATGAAAGCAGAGAAGTCAACACAAAATGATACATAGCCTAATAACAATACATTGTGCAATTAATGTACATAAACATTTCCTTCAGCAAGACTGTTCTCGCCCCACTTCCCCATGTAATCCCTCCCATGTTTACCCTGCAGCAGGGAAGCAAGTAGCATGGTGGCTCATGCTTGCCTTCTTGAAGGGGGATTCAGAATCAAGGTTCAGTGCATCAAAAATAAAAGCAAATTAAAATGGGGAGGAGCTGGAGGCAACTGGGTAAACAAAGTATCTGTTCATAAAAGCTAGCCTGTAGGCTAACCAGTTTTGGGGTTGTTTTTTTTTTTGCACCCTCAGAGGCTTCCTTGTCCACCTTCTGTCTGCCCGCCCTTCCTAGTCACACTTCTGTCTGCCAGCCTGCAGAAGACCAAAGCCTTGAGTGGAGAACACAACACTTAGCAAAGAAGCCCGGCAAAGGGAACAGCATGCTTTGCTGGCACTGGAACAGCCTCAAGGCAGTCCAAAGAAACACCACAAGTTACTGGTTCATTTAAAAAGCCAGCTGCACCCAGGCCTGGAAACCACACAGCTGGAGGTTCTTTATTGCCCACCAGGAGAGATTCCTCCTCATGCCTCATGGAAGCGCCTTTGCCAGAACAAAACTGCCAGTGACAGGCCTCTTGTTCTTTGGGGAAAAGGGCCACCATTTCTTTCATACATGTTTTACTGATGCTTGAGAGCAGAGCAGGTCTACACGTGAGCCAGAAGGTGCATTAAGAGCATGCAGTCCCTCAGCTGCCTTGGTAACCTAACTGTGTCTGGGGACTAATAGTCACAAATGGGGAAAAAGCAGCTGTGACCCACTTCACTTTTGGTCAGAGCTTGAGAAGAAACACAACAGCTGCCCTGCACAATATTCGGGGCTACCTATTTGTAAGCTAAACTCCCATCCACTCCTGAGCTTTGCCTCCTCTGGTTTCCATTGACCAACTGACCATGCCAACTTCTGTGCTGCTCCTTTAGCCGGGGGGGTGGTTCTGCAGCGACTGAGCCTGCATATAATTTTCTCCGGTGCAAAGAGTTGCAGCTGCTAAGTTCAGTTATACCAAACTGTAGAGAATTAATACATGGGTATATGGAGACGATTTGCTTGTGAAGACATGGAAGCACTCCAGGCTCAGAAAGCACAGCCTACTTGTAGAATGACATTCAACTGTGTGCCGAGAATTAGCACCAAACCTACACGTGATGCTGGGCCTTAAAGGATGGAGATGGGACTTCTACAACATGCCATCCTTGTTCTGGCTTCTTCAGGTGGGATGCAGGGCATCCATTCACCTAGACACCTACAAGTGAAAATTTCCATGTCGTGCTACATAAAGCTTGTTCAAATCGTACATATGTGTGTGGAGAGAAAGAAACAAGAATCTAAACAACTGCTATAGATTCTAGGAGAACTATAGCTTTCTTTAAGGCACAGTTCAGACAACCCGTAAATCGGTTTCCTCCCACTTGCCAATCTATTTAAAAACAAGCCAAGAACCAAAAAAAAAGGGCAATTTTGCTGCTTGGCCAAAAGCAGTCAACTGTGTGTTATCTTGTGATTTATGTGGAAGACCTGGCAAAAGTGCCATGGAAGCCAGAAGTGAAGGTAAAACATGCAACAGAAGACAACTTTGAGCCCAGCACAGAAGTGCACGGAGAAGTCTGTTGACACACAAATACCATGCTGAGAGTTACACAGCTCTGGGCCTACCCCAGATGCAGCTCTAGGGCCAAATGAGACATGGAGGGTTTCAAAGCCCATTCTGACATTTAAAAAGGAAAGTCTGGTAACCTTTCCAGTGGGCATAGTCAGGGGACAGGTTATCTTCTGCTTAACCAAGATGGTCAAAGTCACGATCTCTTTTCACTGAAGCTCTGGGGTTTTTTTTAACTAAAAGTCAGATATTCCCCTGATTTCCTCCAAAGACCTCCAGCGTTCCAGCCTTCCTGTGTCTTCCCTCCCACATCCGCTTTCCTCGCTGAAAATCTGGGTAATAGCATCGAGTACCAAGAATCAAAGCACCTTGGTCTCAGAAGTACCATGAGGCACAGAGACGTTCACAAATTAACGCCAGGCTGCTGGCTCAGAATCAGTCACTGACCTGGAGACGGGAATGCCTTGTCACAGCAGCTTCTAGAGGTCTGAGAAACCCCTGGCACTGAGCACATCAAATCTGTGCCAGGAACTCTGCTCATCACCTGCGCTGGCCTTTGTCCAAGAGGATACCATCACATGGGAATTGCCAGTGGCCTGCCAAGTGCCTTGATAAGCAGAAGTGTTGGAGACACCAACAATAATACATACTTGCATCCCAAAGCTAGCATTCCCCAATGAGTTAACACCCTCTGCTGGGTAGCGTGGGCCTTTGACAAGGCCGAGGAGACAGATAGCTGCCAGGAACAATGCAGGGCTGCTTCAACATGCTGCTGCCTGGCTCTGCCACCAAGACATCTCTGCTCCTTCCCACAGTGCCAGGGAAGCACAAGCCTGGAGAGTTCTGGCACACACAGAGCTCCACAAACTTAGCTGAATGTTTGAACAGGAGCCAAGAAAGCTGCCAGCCCCTTGGCCTCATGCATGCAGTAGGGCAGGACAAAAAGGGCATTTGGCCTTGGCTCCAGGAGTCACCACAGGTACTCCAGCAGCAGACGCTACCTGGGCCGTACTCTTCTATACACTGCCAGGGTAGAGCCTTGTCCTGCACCTTCTGCATACCACCCGCTGGTTAGATCACCTCCAGGAAATCGGCTCTGGAGAAGACCAGGATAGAAGTTGTGCAGCCTCCCCAGTCTCATCAGTCCCTGAAGAATCCAAGCTGGGCTCAGTCCCCCCTGCACCCCTCAAGTGAAAAGCATTAGGGGTAGCGTGCTTGGATGAAAGACAGGACATCCTCCTTTGATAGCTTCTCTGGATCTTGCCTTTTCTGAGAGTCGTGCACTTTGACACCTTCCCCCCACTCCCAGAAGAGGCGGCTGTAATGGCAGACGCTGTGGGCAGAGAGGAGAGCAAGATTAGTTTGGCAGGGGAAGGGAAGGAAAGCATTGTCATCCTAGCCACAAAGTGCACTACAGAGACAGTTGCCCTTGAGATGGGAGCCACTCAGAGAGATTCTGTCTAAGGGGTACCTTAGAGAAAGACCAGTGCGTTCATTCACCTTACAAACTCCACAGCCCTTAAGGTACAGCAGCTTCCAAGCCTAAGAGACTTCCACGGAAACAAAATTGTTCATTCTAGCTTCACTCAAGATTCAGTTCAGTATTTGCTGGAAGGAGACAGGTCGTTAGGGAAAACCTACCTCCCCCAAGTTTTTGAGAGGATGAAACTGTCATTGCAGGCAATGGAAGGGCCTTAATGAAGAATTTAGAAAGTCTGCCAGCAGCAGCAAGCAGCAATCTAATCACACAAGACTACTAGAATCAGTAATAGCTGTCCTATGGAGCTTTGCAAAAGAACAGCACTTCACGCTGTATCGAAGCGGCCAGGATCATCCCCTCTTTCCCCTCGTGTGAAATAACCCAGCTCCACTCGGCTGCTGAGAGTTCTGGTCCTGCAACACCATCTCTCACTCCGTCCACCAAGCACAGCCTTCCCTCACCGCATCAACACAGTCCCAACCATAATGAAAACAGAGCTGCTAATTACTGCTGACACAGCAGCCTTTCATTTCGTACAATTACTGACACTTAATATTCATAGCTTATTTAGTGCTACTGTTCTAACAAAGCAGTACTAGCACAGCGAC